GTGAGCCTCTGGTCACAACATTTTCTTCAACTAAGCAATATATAACCTTGGCTTATGTGTGTTTCTGTTTAAAGACGCCTTATTTAATATATATTATTGATTCGTTCACCTTGAACTTTCAGCCAACAGCATTAAATATAACTCATGCCTGATCAAAGCTTCTCTAACACACGTAGTCTCCCCATGAGACATCACAGTCTCCTGTCCTTAGGACTCCAGACAGCATTACGCTTAATTGTAAACAGCAAACTCATTAATGAAAAGCACAGAGATATGAAAAACATGACACTAAACCAACAGAAAGGACACTTTTTTTACAGTATGAGGACTAACACAAGAAGGCAGAGTGCTGCTTATGGAACCTCAGCTGGGAACTTGTGTGTCAAACAACTCAAATTTTCAACATCTTGTGCACATCTGTGATGACCGTGAGAACCGTGTTGATTTTGGGATCACAAACAAATTTTAGTGAATAAGCAAATTTGCAAATATGGAATTTGCCAATAATGAGGATAGGCTGTAGATGAACAGGCAACTCAAAGGCTATTTAAACCAACAAAATGATGTTCAACCTCACTATTTACTGGTGAAATCTAATAAATTAGTGTTTGACAGGCAATACACTGGCAAAACCATAAGTTATGATAACACCATGTTCTAGAAAACATGAGGAAATAACTCGGGCGTGGCAGACAAGACTCTGATTCCCTAGCCACCGCAGGGCAGTCCGGCCAAGCTCGGGAGAGATGGAAGGGGCACACCTTGCAATTCCACTGCTAGCTCTGTCCCTGGAAGACTCTCGCCACAGTGACAAGCAGACACGGGACTGAGGCAGCCTCTGTCAGCAAAGGGGACGATCCTCCGCTCAACAGGCAATGTGCCATTAAAGTGGCATTGACTCACGGAGTGGAATGCTGCCTATTAGTTAAAATGAATTTAACTTACATGTATTTATTCACACAGATGTTCAACCTGGAAAACTCTCCTCACCAACATTTAGTCACACATTTACGTACTCAATCTCATGTGTGAATCAAGAAATGGGTAGCTCCCATCAGAACACGCTTAGTTTTTGAAACAACAGAAAATAGTAAAAAAAAAAAAAAATCGCCCAAGTCTAATTTGCCACATGGAAAATTACAATAAACTGTCGAGAGTAAAATATAAAGAGCCCAAATTCACTATATCATGCAATAAAGATCAGAAAACAGTAACTAACCCTAAAAGCCTAAATGCCAGGGGAATGGAGTGGCAACATAGCCAAAATGATATTCAGAGGAAACTTTATGGTCTCAAATACCTCTATTTGAAAAATTTTAAATGACTAATAAAAATTACTTTTTTCAAGAAGTTGGAATGATATCAAAGATCCCTTGGATCATAACATACACCAGAATAGCTACGCTCAAAAGGACTGACCACACCAAATGTTGGCAGGTGTGTGGAGTGGTCAGAGCTCTCCTTTGCTGTGGATGGGAATGCAGAGTGGCACAAGGACTTTAGGAAAAAGGTCTTTGAGCTTCTTGTGAAACTAAGCCCACAAACCACACGACAAGCAACTCCACTCCTAGGTAACACTAACAGAAATGAAAGTATTTGTCCACAAACAGCTGCATGACGATGTCCCAGCCACTCTATTCACAACTGTCAAAGCTGGAGTCTGCTTAGGTCAACAGGATGGACCAATGAGCATGTTCACCTGGTGGAATACAATCCAGTAACAAACAGAAACAACCTATCACACAGATATGCACAGATGAGTCTCAAAAGCATTAAGCTAAGAGAAGGAAGCCAGGCCTAAGCAGCTATACATTGTAGGATTCCATTTCTATTTAGTTCTAGAACAGCTAAAAAAAAAAAAAAATACAATAGATTTAGTTCTAGAACAGTAGGAAAAAAAATCAGAACGGCAGGTGCCTCTGGAGCAGGCACACTGACTAGGACATTCTAGGAATGAACTTTCTAGCATGATGCGTGTTCTGTGCCCGGACAGGGTGTGTGGACTGCAGAGATTTATGCATTAGTTGGATCTTATTAGTGGTCTACTTAATGTGTGCATTTCATTGCGTGTAAATTTTAACTCAGAAAGAAGAAACAAGAATAGTAAACAGATACCGAACTCTTGCTACTGAGATTCATGCTGAAGTACTTCAGAATGAACTTTACAGATATCTGTTCCTTAAAAGGAATAAAAACTAAGAACAATGGATCGATGGAGGGACAGATGGAAAGATATGTCACAGAGCTAGCACAGTAAAATATAAGTTATCATCTGGCAGATAGGTCTGTGGGTGTTCATTTTAAAATTTCTTCTACTTTTCTAAATGTTTGAAATTTTTCGTAATAAAATGCGAAGAAAAAAAGAATGCCTTACAACACCAAGAAAGGGGTACTTGATGGAAAACTTCAATGTAGATCTTAATTCTCACAAAATAAAAATTCATTGTGATTTCAAGCAAAATACCATCAGAGTTTTTCAAGGAAATTAAGGCCTTCAAGAAGGCAAAACATGAAAAACCCATGCTTATTAACAAATAACAGAAATTTTAATTTTCCATAAGACCAAGAAATGAGACATATGAGGGGATGCAAAAAAGCTGAAATTTATTTATAAAAAATTGTGTATTTTTCTTACATGTCTAAATTTTGGTCACCTTCAAAGTAAGTACTCTTTGTTTGATGCAGTATACCTTGTGTATGTGTTTTCTACTGCTTAAAAGAGTTTGTGAACTTATCCATTTTAATGCCTTTTAGTGCTTGTGTCACTTTTGGTTTCACTTCTTTCACATCAGCAAACATTTCCCCTTGAAGACGTTTTAAATCCAGGGAAAAAACAACAACAAAAATTAACTTGGGGTGAGACTGAGTGAATAGGGAGGGTGAGGTACAGGGGTCAGGTCGATTTTGGTCAAAAACTGCTGAACACTCAGCACAGCTTGGGCAGGTGCTCTCTCATAAGTCACCCATCATGAAATGGGCGTAGAAAGAATCTCCAAAAAAAATTCACTGATGCTGAACACAGCCTCTCACAACAACGCCAGCTGGCCCACTGATGCCGACGGGCTCCTGGGGGGAAAGCCTGCAATACAAGTTGCCTGCTCTCCAAAACATAATTCTAGGTTTTAGGGGGCTCCCTGTCATAAGTAATTGTGAATATCACTATAAAACAAACGACATAGAGGGGAAAATGGGCAAAGAATATGAAGCAGCAATTGATGAAGAGAAAATGGGTGGAAGGAGGCCAAGGAGACAGGACAGGAGTCACTGTGGTGACCAGGCTGAGGAGGCTGCATCTGAGCCGGGGGAACCCCATCACGGTCACGTGCCCTGGGCACGAATCCAAGAGAGGCGAAAAAACCTCAGGGAAGTTCAAGTACACGGACATGGAAAAATCAGTATTAGCACTATTAATTAAACAGGTCAGGCACAACATCATTTATGTAGAAAAAGGAATAAAAGTGAGAAGATGTGTTTACCTGGAGACACGCATGGCCTGTATGCCGAGGAAGCCCCTGGATGGTTCACCTTCCTGACAAGGACGGAGGTCAGGCAGGACTTCCACTGTTCACACTGCCTGGGCCACTTACATGAATGTGTTGACTTAACTCACAACTTACATGAGACGTTGTCAACGTCAAATGAGTGTGAGACCTTTTATATAAATCTTGAATTACATAAATGTATAATTTGTTATATAAATATATGCAAAAGTTTTAATATTTATCCAAGAAATTATAGTTCTATAATTATGTCATATACTTCCATATTTTATACTACATAGTTATCTCATATAAAAGTTATGTGCAGTATATGTAAGTATATTATAACACCATATATCTACAAAATACACAAATATAAAATCAAGAGAACAGGCCGGGCTCAGTGGCTCAGCCTGTAATCCCAGCACTTTGGGAGGCCGAGGTGAGTGGATTGCCAGAGCCCGCAGATTCGAGAACCACCCGGGCAACTTGGCGAGACCTCGTCCCTACGATTAAAAAAAAAAAAAAAAAATCAAGAGAACAAATAATCCTATGTTTGAATGACATGTGCCTTCTCCCAGGCCCATGCACAAGCCTGTGATGTGGTCTCTTTCTTTCCTCACTCCATGGACATGCCGCTGTTCAGCACAGAAATCTCCTCAAAACCTGCTTCTGCAGTCAGGTCCACATCCCCTGGAGGGTGCCAGCCTCGCCACCCCAAATGCGTGGCAGCATGTCACGGTGGGCAATGCCACAGAATACAGGGAGACAGGACTCAGCCCACCCTGCACAATGGGCCAGCTGTGCAGTATCCATGTGGCTGTCCAGAGCCTGTGGGAGGGAAGCATCGTGGCCACTGGGCACGCAGAGACTTGGGAACATTTTGGTCACTGCTCACCTCACACATGGCCATGGCACAAGTGCTACCCCAAGTCTATGATGTCAGGATGTTTGCAGCACAGAATCTCCCAAGAGAGCCCAGCTGCCGTGGATGACCTTGACCTGGGAATCAAGGGCCCCACTTAAAGCTAGACACTAATAGCAGCTTGCTGAGGTGTGTAAGCCTGGCTGTGAGCACCGTGTGGCCACTGGAAGGGGGACTTGAGACCGCCTCGAAGGGTAGCCCAGGGCTTGTGGCACATACTTGCTAACTGCAGAAACTACCGGCACTTCAGAGTGAGAACCAGCTCCTGTCTCCAGATGCCTAGGGAGCCAGGTCCTTCCTGGTGGTCCTGGCAACCTGGCCTGCATGTGTGAACCCCTCCAAGTTGCCCTGGGTGAGGCCATCATCGCTGAAGAAATGAATACTTTCTGTTTTTAGGGCATTTTCTCTTTACAGGAAACATGGAAAATATAAACGTTTCCCAACGCCAAACAGCACACTCATCCCTGTGTGAAGCCCAGCCAACTCTAGAAAATTCAGCAAAGACAAGCGTTGGCAGGACTTAAAACTTGGATTCTTACTTACATAACGAAAACCCTCAGAGCATCAGAACATGGTCTGAGAAAACAGATACTTACTGGAAGTTATGGTTGGGGCTGTGTGTTGGACCTGAAGAGAGAAAACGAAAAGACAAGTGATTAATGCTTCATGATTTGGAATAACAACTTTTCAAATCAAGCCAGCGGCAAACATAGCAAAAGCCCAGCAGGCATGCTGTCGCCAGCTGTCCCCAGCCAGGCCTCCGCCAGCCTGTGACTTCATGCCAGCGATGCCGGAAACCACAAGAAAGGAAAGGGCGCTTTGTCTCTGCGGATACTTCCAGGGATATTTTCGGAGTCTTTGCTGTCTTTTCTCTCTCTTCTCCTTTAATGTTTACACACAAAAGCTGCTTTACTGCTTGTGACAGAACAGCGTGGGCTTGGGTGACATGGCCGAGCTGTGCCTTGCCTGTGACCGTCTCACACCTGGGAGGCAGGGGACACGTTCCTGCCTGCCATCTAATCCTTTCACCAGGCGTGACGTGCACAGAAGCTCAGAACGGTGACGACGCTCTGCCCTCTCCACACCCCAGCCAAACCAGGGTTCAGATCACGGCAGAGGTGCTGAAGGACCCGCCTGGGCCCCGGCCATCCCAGGGCTGGCTGCCCCGTGGACACCAGACCTGAAACGTAGCCTCCCCTCCAGCGTCTGGGCTCAAGAGTGCATGGGGTGACTTTCTACATCCAGGTCTGCAGCCCATTCCCACCATGTCCCGGTCTAAATCTCAATCCCTCCGTGTCCACGTCGACAGCCCACTCCCTCTACGTGCAGGTCTAGACCCCACTCCCTGAGTGTTCAGGTCTCCAGCCCATCCCCTCGACGTCCAGATCCACAGCCCACGCCCTCCATGTCCAAGGTTCAAAACCCAGTCCCACTGCATCCAGATATACAGTCCAATCCCTCTGCTTCCAGGACTACAGTCCATCTCCCTCTGTGTCTATTTCTCTTACGATAAGCGAACACATAGCAAGTTAACTGGGATCTTGGACACCGTGGGGAGGGGGTCAGGGAAAGGGTTCACTGGTTTCCTCCCATTTGGAGTGTCGTGTGTGCAGATTCAAGTGGTCAACTGACCTGTTGAGCCCAGACTGGATGTTCCTAGCTGCCACCCGGCCAGCTCAGCGACCCCGACTCACCCAGCCGCACAAACAGGACTCCAGTGGCTGTGATGGTCTTCACCCCGTTGGAGGCCACGCACTGGTAGTAGCCTGTGTCTGTGGTGTCCAGGTCTTGGATTCTCAGTCGAGAACCGAATTCCGTTTTTCGTATGATGATCCGGCGTGGCTCCTGCACGACCGGAGCGTCATTCTTCAGCCACCGCACGTTGGGGGGTGGGTTTCCCGCCACCTTGCAGTGCAGAGTCGCTGTCTGGCCTTGGACGATGGTGATATTGTTCACTGGCTCCAGGAAATTCAGAAAGTAGCCTGCCAAGGAGAGGGGTCACAAAAGAGCACATTTCATGAGGCTGGAAGGGAGGGCTGCCTGGGCTCCGTCACGCCCTGCCCTTGTGAGAAGGCTTTGATCTTGTCTCACACACACCTAGCAGGTTCTTGTTATTTGTGGTGACTGTGTTCTAGAATGTTTCAGTGGACACTGATTTAGTGAATACCGAACCACAGCTCCTGGGAGAACATAGGGTCAGATTCTTCTTCAACATTTTCATCAACTGTCGATACGTAACTTTGTCTTAGGAGTGTTTATGTTTAAAGATGCCTTACTTAATATATAGCATTCTATAAGAAATGGATTGGCGGTAGTGGGAAACTGCCCGGGGTGGGGGGGGAAGCACACCTCATCAGCAAGGGTACCTGCATAAAGACCATTTGTATACCTAATTTTGAATTGTAACCCACATCTTTAAAATAAAAAAAAGTATGGCCAGGCTCTGTGGCTTAGCCTATAATTCCAGCGCTTTGGGAGGCCAGGATGAGTGGATTGCCTGAGCCTGCGGGTTCGAGACCAGCCGGGGCAACTTGGAGAGACCTCGTCTCTACAATAAATTTTTTTTTAAAACTAGCCAGGTTTGGTAGCATGCACCTATAGTTCCGGCTACTTGGAAGGTTGAAGCAGAAAGATCGCCAGAGCCCAGCAGGTCAACACCGGGATGGCCATGAGTGTGTCACTGCACCCCAGCGTGGGTGACGGAGTGAGACTCCAACTCAAGAAAAAAAAAAGGAAAAAAAAAAAATATATATGCATGGCATTGATCTGTTAACCTTGAACTCATGGCCAACAGCACTACAATTCACACCCGAAGCTTCTCTAACAATGTCCATAAGGCACAAGACAGTCTCCTGCACTCAGAACACCAGGCAGCACGGCAGCCCCGCTGTCAACAGCGAAATCACCAGCAAAAGACACACACGTGTGAGAGATGTGGCACTAAATGGTCGGGATGAGGACAGGTGTTCATGGCGTGAGAGCCTCACCTGCTCAGCCCCACTGGGACACGGGCATCGAGGGCCTCGGGATCTCCCCTGCCTTGGGTAGGCTTCTGAAAACCCACAAAAGCCCCGCGAGGACAACGTGGGGTTTACGAATAGATTTTAGACATCATCAGTGAACTTGTAAATATGAATTCCACAAATAATGAGCCTCAACTGTCCTCTTTCCAAACAGGAGACCCAGTCAGGGGTGTCAGTGTGATGTAAACTCTTGCTCAGAAAGTCCCTCCTCACCTCCCAACACACCACCAAGCGCAAAGCCACAAGAAGCAAAACACAAAAAGAAAACTTGCAACCAAACACAGACATCTCAACCCCAAGCTCGTCATCAGCCTGTAAATACAGCAGAGGTTCCAACACTCGGGAGCTGAGGGCCTCGTCCCCTGCACCCAAGTCAGGAGCAGACAGCTGCAGTCCAGGCTCCCAAATGCCTCAACAGGGAGTGACCCTGCTGTCACAGAGCATGGTCTATGTGATGACAAATCTCTGATACCAATAGGCAGCTCAGCAGAGTCAATCTGGCAGATGTTCCCCATTTACTCGGTGAGAATGTCTTCTCTGCACGGTGTGGGGGGTTGCATATATACTTTAGGTCAAGCGTGTCACTTTTGGTGTGCCTATGTTTAATATGCTTGTCTACTCGTTTCAATGAAATGTGTATTCACAAACTAGTCACTGTGTCAAGCTGTGCTGAGATACTGAAACAGCAAGACTGAGTGAGCTCCACCCCAGCCTATGACATCATTTGGTCTTTATGTCACCCTGCAATGGTTTTGTCCAAAAGACTGTTTTGACTGATATTATGACAGCCACCTCCGGTGCTTCTGGTTAACGCAGCCCCACTCTTATCTTTTTAATGACTTCACCATTTTATGATTCTGTATTAGACATAAATCTTACAAATGGCATATAATTTTACATGTCAATTTATGAATCCACGTGCTAATCTCTAGTTTTATTTTGAATGTTTTAATTTGCCTTTTGTTTCTCTTTTCCTATTTTCTACGGGATTTGTAAAATTTTTCAAGCTTTTCCCTTTGCTTATTCAAAAGTTACACTTACATAGCTAGCTAAATGACATTTAATGGGTATACCCCATTTGGCAAAGTTCCCCAAATACAGAACTTCTAAATGATACGAGCTACAATCATTCACACACACCCCCTCCACACACACACACAGATTTTGAGCTGCTTCCCAGTTCAAGACTCCAGGGGTCAATGTCATTGTCGATTGTCTACTCCCAGAGTTTACTGGGATCTCTGACTTATTCACCAGCTTCTTTCCTCGCAGGCCAGCTGGGCTCACCCTGAGTCACGTTCATCTCTGGGTGAAGGACTGACATCAACACTCCTGGTCTCGTCTAAGCATGCCTGTTACTTCCACTCTCGAATACAGAATTCCAGACACTGTCAGCTCCTGGCTTTTGTTCTGACTGTCAGAAGTCCCACAGTTCCTATTCCTCTGCAGGAAATCTGAACTTCCCCCTTCTTCGGTTATTTTAAATATTTTCCCTTTGTCTTGGCCATACCAAAGATTCTATCATCTCTCACTGACAGTAAATTTATGTTTACTTTTGCCTTCTCAGGTCTCAGTGCCTTTCCTCAAGTCTGAAGATCCATGCCTTCCATCGATCCCATGAAATTTTCTGCTCTGTAGCATGAGACACTGTCCCTCTCCCTCCCCTGTATCTCCTTCTAGACGCCTCACACAATGGCTCCTCTGTGCTCTTCTCTATCCTTCCTCCTCTTCCACTGCATGCCATCCACTCTGCAGCCCAGCCATGAAGCCTCCCTTTCAGGGACTGTACTTTTCTTTCTAGAAGGTCCGCTGGTCCCTTTTCAGACCCACCACTGCTTTTCTTCTCTGGGTTCCACTCACCCCTTATCCCTAATCCTTGGCCTCCCTGTTCACCAAGGTTTCTCTCCAGCACGTGCCCTCATCCGGTAAAGCAAGTTTTCCTGAGGGAATCCCATGGACATAGGAAGTGCCAGGTTTTACATTAACTTTGTGACTTGGAATCCCATGCACTGCCCATAACATTGTGGTGATGTAAGTCTGGCTTCCAGAGGTACAGGTCCAAGCCTGACTTCTCACTAAAGGGCCATCTGTGCTCCCCACGAGAACCAGCTCCAGAAAGTCTCTCCCCTCCAGGCCCCGAGTGGAAAGCACTCCCCCTCTCCCCAAGGGGGCAGCTCACAGGCCTCCTAGCTTTGCCTGGGAGGCTTGTCCCTGCACCCCAGTTCTGAAGACCTCAGGGATTTCTTCCAGCGTGGTGCTGATACCCAGGTGTCTTAATAAAACTGGGCCTAGTCAAATAGCCCCTGAAGCAGGGATGACGTTCCAGGAGGCCTTACAGGATGCTCCCTGGGCCCTATACTAGAGTCCAAGAAATGCAATTCCTTTACCTTCCTCAAATCAAATTCGATTTGTATCCTAGCCTCTTGTTTCTCCTGCCTGAAGGACACTCAGTGCATCCAGTTTCCAGTGAGGTCGGTGACTTCAGGGCATTGACTTCACGTGGTCTCAGCCAGACCCTCCCACTCCGGCACGTGGTCCTCGGTGGCACCGAGCTGTGGCCCCATTGCCACGTCCTCCACGTCTCCTCAGTGCTCTCTCCCCCCAGAGCTCCCCGACGTCCACCTCTGTGCCACAGCCACACAGGGACGCGGCATTTACAGTTGGCGAGCGTATGTCACAAGTGCATGGCACTTCCGAATCCAGCTCTTTGTCTCAGGAAAACTTGCATGAGGCCCCAGGAAACTTGGGCTGCTCTCCAGGAGTGCAGACATGGGGGCGCCTCGGCAATCACCTACGACTCTGCTTAGTCTTGGCTCCTGGCTGCTGGCATTTCTATCTTTCACTAACATTTTAGTGAGCACGTGCATGTAATTCCCATGGGAGGGCTTTCAGATCGGTCTGGTCCACCATCCTCACCACCATCAGCTCTCTGGAGGCCACACCTGAGAGCCACAAAGAGCCGCTCCAGAGGCTGAGTCTGGGGCTCCTTTCTCCCTCACGGGTTAATTCACAGCCAGTCACTTGGCCTCCCTTGGCTGAGTCCTCCTTCGTGCAAAATCCGGGTTAGTACTGACCACTGCCGAAGCTCTCCTCTCGCCCACAAAACATTCCTTAGAGTTGCCCAAACCCCTCCCAGCCCAAAGCAGCCAGGCGTGGCCGACTGTGGTATGGCCCACGGATCCGGGCAGCGCTCTGCACACTGCAAGGAACAGAGGGCTCCCCTCTTAGCTGATCCAGAAAAGTTCCCCTTCCTAACCATAGTACAGCCTTAGCAACTGAAGTAAAGGAACTCGCCTCCCCATGCCCAGGCCAGCTCTCTGTGCACTCTGAAACTCAGGGCAGGGAGCTGATCCCGAGCATTAAGACACTCAGAGGTGAAGGCAGCAGGAGGACCCTTCACCTGGGAACATGCCCGCCTCACAGTCTGCTGGGTCCACGGCTCATGGTGTTTATGACCCAAGTGAGGCTCACGCTTTCCCCAACCTGGTCAAGCAACTCAGACATCTGAAGAGCCACTTCACCCCAGGCCGGGAAAGAGACTCTGACAGCCTCATGCACAGGGGTCACGAGGTGGCAGGGCTCTGAAGAGTGGGAAACCCAGCAGACCCATCTGGATGGCAAGTGGAGCAGGGGTCCTGGGAGCTGCCAGGGGCATGAAGCCCTCTTCTGAAAAATCCTTCTGGCCACTGTGTCACCTGGGAAGGGCCTCTGTCCTCAGGGTTCTGTCAAGCCACCGCTGCAGAAATGTGGGTGCATCAGAAAGGGGGTGTCGGAGAAAACGAAGAAATGGAAAAATGAAAAGCAAAGGGGTCAAGGGGAACATCTGCTCCTCTGGGGAAGCAAGGGTATGGGGTGCACAGTCCCACCAGACAGGCTGAAGTCCTGGCCAGAACCAGGTGTGACCTTATTTGAAAACAGAGTCACTGCAGATGTAACCAAGTCGAGTCCCACAGTGATCA